CATTCTTATCCTTTCTTAAATTTTTCATAATCTTTGCTTAAGTGGTCTAATTTGTCCACTTTTTTTCCAGTCTTGATACTCTGTTTTCCATTTCATTTATCCTATTGGTGAGGCTATCCTATCCTATTTCTCCTGTTGTTTCTAATTGGATTATTGAGTGTTTCACTTACTTCTTCATTTCGACCTGAGTAGTCTTCAATATTTCTAACTCTTCTGAATTCATTCAGAAGTTTATCTCTATCATCCTTCGGTTCTTTGATTAATTTGTGTGTTCTTTAAATTCACTGAATTCTTTTATCATGTTTATAGCTGTTCTTTTGAGTTCCATGCCTTGCATTATCTCTAGGGGATTCTCATTGTACTCCTCTTGAGGACTAGTGGTATTTGATGGGGTTATGTTATTTTGGTTTTTCATGTTATTATTTTTTTCTCTGTGATTTTAACATGTGAATTTCTTTCGTAGTTTCTGATTCTTGTGTGAGACTCAAGCCTTCCAGTTTAGGTGTGCTTCTTTTTGTGTACTTTATGTGTCTTTGTGGTTTACTTTTGGGGAATGAAAAGGTGGTTCCTCTCAGCTTCCAGTCCTCTTTTTTGATTTTATATTGGAGTAGCCAGATTGCTTTTGTCTTCAGGAGTTCCCACAGAGGCCCAAGTCAGATGAGGATCAGATGCTTTCCGGGTTTCTCCTAAGGTCTGGATCCCTCCAGGAAAGATTTTGACCTCAAGAATTTGGGTGTTGGACTGCCCTGGGAGCCAGACCCAGGAAAGATGTTGCTCTAGGGCGGCTGGTGGCCTTGACACACAGAAATGCAAAGGAAGATGGGGATGGGAAGCAGCCCCAAGGGCTCCTGGGGACTACACTGAGGAGCTAGGTTGGTCTGGATGCAAAGTATCAGGAAGAAGAAAGGTCAGCCCCGGGTACAGGAAAGAGGTTGGAGTGTTGTGTAGACCAGGGAAGCTGAGGGCGGTGAGGTCAGGGCCAGGCCCAGAGTGCTCCCTGGGACCAAAGAAGGAATTGGGTTGGTCTGGATGCAAAGGATCAGGAAGAGGAAAGGTCAGCCCCTGGGTACAGGAAAGACGCTGGAGGGTTGTGTAGACCCAGGGAAGCAGAGGGAAGTGAGGTTAGGGCCAGGCCCAGAGTGCTCCTGGGGACCAGAGAAGGATCTGGGTTGGTCTGGATGTAAAGGATCAGTAAGTCTTGGTGGATCCTTGGGTGTGTGGGGCACCAAGACAAGGAATGGGACAGGACCCAGGCTAGGAGGAGAGACCAGCAAGGGAGATGAGAGGATGAATGACACTGGGGTAGTCCAGGTGCAGAGGGCGAGATCGACCTATCCTGGAGAGAGGCCTGCGAGTTGTGCAGGCCCAGGGAAGCAGAGGGAAGTGAGGCTCTCTTGGGTTTTTTAGAAGGTTGCCCTAGGTTTTTTATAACTCAAAATGAACTTGTAAAAAATTGTCTTGATATTATCAGAGGACATTAAGTTTTCATTCTGTAAAGCACAACTTACTTGAGAAATAATTTAGTGATTTAAATATTGTGCCTAAACTTTTTATTGTATAAGTATATTGGGTGGTAGATATTTCATTCAAGCAGTCAACAAGTAATGAGTACTTTAAGTATGCTGGCCTGTAGTAGGATGTAAGTTTATGTAGACAATCATCCCTCATATTATCCTTTGAGAAACGGTTCTTTCTAAAACGTGTGTACACAAAAAAATATGGATGCTCAAGTCTCCTATATGATATGTTTTAGTGTTGGCACATGGCTTGCCTACATTCTTCCAATCTTCCAAATCATCTCAAGATTATTTAATACCTAATACAATCGAAGTGCTATATATACATA